CCGTCCTCATCAACGTTGAAATTGCATTCGGCGAGAGCAGGGCAGAGCAGTTTGTCTGTCTGTCCACCTGACTGCCAGGCATTGGAATTTTGTGAAACCAATTAAAATGCATTTTGTTTGTTGCATTATCATCTGCATCACCGGTACCGGCACCGGCATCATCATCATCTTCCCATCACATCACTTTTCATTGGTCGTTATCACAATGTCCGGTTTGTTGGCCGATTGACTTAGCGGCTGCGTTCCTTAGATGAAATCAAATGTGGCATTTTTACAAGAACAAACATTCCTTGCTTTGGACTATTTTTAATTCCGCCTATTATTCCCTTCCCTAGTAAGTTTGAATTTTGAGGAGGTAAATTTGCTAAAAGACAAAAATCTGATCTAAGAAAATAGAAGAGCTGTAGGTCTTCTAATAGGAAAGCCGAAATTCTTCTCATATGAGACCAGAAAGTCTTCTGCCGAAGTCGAGCCAAAGGTCTCCTCATAGAAGAGTTGAAGCTCTTCTCATAGAAGAACCGAAGGTCTCCTCATAGAAGGGCCTAAGTTCTTCTACATAGAAGACGAGAAGGTTTTCTCATAGAAGAGCTTAAGGTCTTCTCATAGAAGAGCTTAAGGTCTTCTCATAGGTCTTAAGGTTTTCTGATGGAAGCTGTATGAGGTCTTCTCACAGAAGAGCTGTATGAGGTCTTCTCACAGAAGAGCTTTAGGAGGTCTTCTCATAGAAGAGCTGTAGGAGGTCTTCTCATAGAAGATCTGTAGGAGGTCTTCTCATAGAAGAGCTGTAGGAGGTCTTCTCATAGAAGAGCTGTAGGAGGTCTTCTCTTAGAGCTGTAGGAGGTCTTCTCATCAGAAGAGCTTAAGGTTTTCTCCTCAGAAGAGCTTAAGGTCTTTTCCTCAGAAGAGCATAAGGTCTTCTCCTCAGAAGAGCTTAAGGTCTTCCCCTCAGAAGAGCTTAATGTCTTCCCCTCAGAAGTGCTTAATGTCTTCCCCTCAGAAGAGCTTAAGGTCTTCTCCACAGAAGAGCTTAAGGTCTTCTCCACAGAAGAGGTTAAGGTCTTCTCCACAGAAGAGGTTAAGGTCTTCTCCACAGAAGAGGTTTAGGTCTCTTTAGAAAGATTATGGGGTTCTCTCATTAGAAGAGCTTAAGATATTTCTTCGTGGAGCTGAAGGTGTCTGCTTTTAGAAGAGGCTAAGTACTTCCCGTAAAAGGTCAAGAAGTTTCAGGTCTTCTCGTACAATACCTACGCTTCCTATTTCTTCTCATTTATATGTCTAAGATATTACGGTTTCTTAAATAAGTGTTGCTACAGCGCAAGATTGATTAACCATAAAATAAAATCGACAAAGTAATAAGGAGAACATGATTGCGATTCTCCAAGTACGGTTGCTGTCGAAAATGGAATTACATTTCAGTTTTTTTGGAAATAAAATACAAAATGAATGTCCGAACGCTGAGATTGTCTATGATGGTCAATTGAAGACCGGCAATATATCATGTTTATACTCGACATCAAAACATCCTGATGGGGTTCTTAAAGTAGCTTTTAGATCTCACTGATAGAATGGATACCTCTTTCTCTCAACTATTTATAAAGCCATCAGGCCACACCCCTCAATAATTTAGTTAAAAAAACAATAGCAATAACATCAACATCAGCAGCAGCTACTAAAAAACACAGAAAACGCTCCGAACAGCATTTCGTTGGCCCCTGCTTTAAACTGGATTATGGCTCGCGGTAACATGTCGGTATGCTCAAGGTCAGGAGGTGATCTTACGTTTTTGATAAACCCTTTTTGAGGTTTGTGTTGTTGTTTTTAACATTATTATTGTTGTTGCTTTAATTTGTGGCATTTATAACAAAAATAACAACACATCAACAATAAAAAAAAATCAACAAATGATTCCATTCAACTTCGTCGTACAACGCGACAACGTCAAAGTACGTGCCAATTTTGAAAGTGGCGTCCGAACACAAACCAACAAATCGCTTTGCCATGTCAGGCGAATTGTCAGATGGTGTGGTGTGTGTGCGTGAATGTGTGTATTTTTCGGAGTTGGTATTTGATGAAATTTCCCAATGAATCGGGGGAATCAGGGAAGGCTAATTTCTATGAAATGTGTTAAAATCACTCCAGAGAACTCTGTCAAAGATGGACGTGCAAATATTTTTTTGGTTCATGTTCATACATGAACTTTTGCAGCGATCACAAAAGATTTTGCATGGGCCATTAGCCAAGAACAAAGTTGGCCGTCAAAACAATTAGAAAGAGCGGAGAAGCAGAAGACAAGGAGGAAAAAAAAGAAATTAAGTAATTTAAATTATATAACTTATGATTTTTATTATGAAGATGGAATTTTTATTATGCCGCGGGGGAGGGGGATAACGTCAGTGAGTCATAAGCCCGGCAAGCGGGAGGCGATATTTTATAATTTATGTTTGCTGCCACAGAGTCGTATAGGGAGGAAGAATTCCAGGTGAACGTTGAGTATGAAATCGTCATTGAGATACCCTCAAGCACTCAGACGGGCAAGGCCCAGCTTCTCCCAATAAAGGTCCCAAGTTTTCAAAAAGGAAATGATCGCATCTTTAATAAGAAGACGTTCCATCGTCTTTCAATTCTCCCATAAAATGACCAAAAGGTCTTCTATGAAAGAAGAAGAATCTCCGTTTTCAGTGTAAAAGCACACCTTTGGGGCTTACCGTGAGAGGAGACCTTCAGGTTTTCTATGAGAGAAGAATTTTGTGGGAGAGAACCTTTGGGCCTTCAGTGAGAGATAACCATCGAACGGAGAAGGTCGGAGAAGACGTTCTGGTCGTCTATGATAAGACCACAAGGTTTTTTTTGAGAAGACCTTTTCATCATCTAGGAAAATTCTTTCTGGTCCTCTATAAGATTTTCAAAAAGAAAATGTTCGGATCGTTTATAAGAATCGTCTATCAATTCTCCCATAAAAAGACCAAAAGGACTGTCGGTTTTACTGTAAGAGCAGACCTTTGGGGCTTACCGTGAGATGAGAACTTCAGGTTTTCTATGAGAGAAGAATTCTGTGGGAGAAGACCTTTGGGCCTTCAGTAAGAGAGGTCCATCGAACGGGGGAGATCGGAGAAGACGTTCTGGTCGTCTAAGATCAGACCACAAGGTTTTCTTTGAGAAGACCTTTCCATCGTCTAGGAAAATTCTTTCTGGTCCTCTATAAGATTTTCAAAAAGAAAATGTTCGGATCGTTTATAAGAAGACGTTCCATTGTATTTCAATTCTCCCATAAAAAGACCAAAAGGTCTTCTATGAAAGAAGACTGTCGGTTTTACTGTAAGAGTAGACCTTTGGGGCTTAACGTGAGAGGAGACCTTCAGGTTTTCTATGAGACAAGAATTCTGTGGGAGAAGACCTTTGGGCCTTCAGTGAGAGAGGACCATCGAACGGAGGACATCGGAGACGACGTTCTGGTCGTCTATGATAAGACCACAAGGTTTTCTTTGAGAAGACCTTTTCATTATCTAAGGAAAATTCTTTCTGGTTCTTTATAAGAAGAGCTTCTGGTCCTCTATAAGATGACCTTTATAAGAAACAGGTAAGCTATTCGTAAACCATCTATCTCGATATCAATAATATTTAGTACGAACATTACTCAGACACCGGTCCTGGTAACCATATAAAGATACCTCCCAATATTCGGTATTTTGATGATAGTAGCTACAGTTTCCAACGAAGTAGTTTAAAATTTGAAGTTCTAAGTGCAAACCAATCTCTCAACCAGAAGGAGGTTAGTTGAGCTCAAAGTTTTCCAATAGGTATTTTGATGATTTATTCAAAATTTTCAAATTGATATTTCAAATCCCGTATTTCAGATAAAAACTCCTGTGGCAACAAATAATCTTATTAGGTGGTACCATATATTTATAGGTTTTTGAAGGTTCGTTCGGATGTTGATAGTATTAGGTTTAAACCTAACGCTTTTTATACCCTTAGTCATATGTCTACAAATTTCATTTGATACCACTACAACGTGTCTCATCAAAATAACGGGTTTAGACCCATGGTCTCTTTAGACCAAATACGTTTTAAGGCATTCGGAGTCGATTTGAGGCTGTCTGTTAGTCCACACATCTGTCTGTCTGGCTGGCTGGCAGGTGCGCACGATAAATCTCAAAGGGACATTCCGATTTGGTCAAATATGTCACATCTTAATATCATTATCAAACTTAGATCGTGTTCTGAGATTTGCAAAATCGGTCTACTCCTCCTGTACCTCCTCACAAAAGGGCAACAATTTCAAAGAAAATAATTTACCTCATAGAAAGAGAAAGGATAATCCGCTTTTGCTCCAAATTTGAAAATCCAAATATTTGCATCATTGCTATGGCAGGTACGAAAATGGACAATATCGGTCCACTCCATAAAGTACCTCTACCACAAAGAGTCAATATTTTGACTAATTATTACTCGTATAAAATGTGATGTAAGAGTCGAATTGGCTTCAAATTACAAACATCACAATATATTTATTAAGCCAAGGTCTGGTGTGAAGATTTGGAATATCAATTATGCTCACAAAACGCAAAATGAACATCCTGAGACATCTCAATATTTCCATCAACACAGGATATGTTTGAAAGATGCTAGAGATCGGACCATTCTTTATGGTACCTTCCCCACAAAGGGTGAAAGTTTCGAATAACCAAAACGATTATAAAATCCGAAATATGCATCCGGTTATCTTCATATTTCGCACATCCCACTATTTTTACTAACAAAACCTCTGCTGTAAAGATGGAATATATCGGTGCGCTCCTTCTTGTACCTCCTCCACAAAGAGTCAACATTTTGAATAACCATCAACCTCATAGAATGTGAAATCAGCATCCGACTCCATTCAGACTTGATACATCTCAATATTTCCATCAACACAAGATCTGTTATAAAGATGATAGAGATCGGACTACTTCTTCTGGACCTCCCCCCACATAGGATTCAAGATATTGAACTTCTTTAAATATCTCTTCCAATCAAAACCACCTTAATTTTATTCTAAATATTTGTAACAAGTGACTAATTTCTACGTTTGCATATAAATATCCGTAAAGGAGACCTTTTTCCTATTCGCTGCCACTTTGATGAGATCCAAAAGTATTGTCAACTTTTGTTGTAACAAATTCGCTCGCAGCAGATCATCGAAGCCCTCATTGAAATATTGATATTTCACATGATCATCCTCATCGGAAATATAACAACGGAATGTGTCGTGTAATTCTTCGGCCGATTCATCGATCCACACGACAATATCTTGTTTATTTTTCATGTAGACCTCAACCCATCCCTCGGGCAAATAGGTCGAAAGATATTTCGTTGTCCGCCCCTTGAGGAAGTTCAACTTCTTCAGCATTAAATTGTAATGATATTCTTCATCATATTCCAGCTCATCGTCGATGTGCAGTAGGCGTAGCAACAGCTCGGCATAGGTTTTAAGTTTTTCTCGAGGATATGATTCAGGATCTGCAGTGGTTTCTTGTAACATTTGAGTTACAAATCGATACGAGGCTTGAAGAATGTGATTCAATATGGAATTCATTTGTTTGATGGCATATTCGGGTAAAGGGGTTTCGGGTTCTTTAACATGCGGCTCAGTGTTTTCGTTGTCATCTATTGTAACTGTGGTGGTTGTGGTTGTTTCCTCCTCCACTTCCGTTGTTGTTTCCTCTGCTTCTTCGGCTTTTCCGGATTTTTCTGTTGTGGTTAATAAAATTTCACTTTCTGACGTTGTCGATAATCTCGTTGTGGTTATTAGAATCTCCTCCCCCTCTTCTGCAGCTGATGTTACCTTGTGATTGAAATAAAATACGTTTTAAATTTTCGGTTTATTTTTAACCAAATTCCTTACCCCAATAATAAATATCAAGGCGAATGTTATTCCTGATCTCCTCCAGTTCATGGCGTTTTGTTTTGCTTTTACTCCGAAAGTCCAAACTAGAATAAATGCCAACACGAGCTGCCTAATAGTCAATTTCGTTTGTATACTGCGCGGTCACGTTATCAGCGATTTGTGTTTTCTTCCCCATGACTCTCTGGGGGTATTCTGGGCTCTGTGCGATTGTGTATTGGAAATTTTGGAATGATAACCAAGCAATAGATCTACACTGTACTACAACTGTCAGATATTCTAATCTATTAAATTCGAACATTTATTGAAATTTAAGAAAAATATAAAAAACTGCAACCAACTTCAGACTGCTGTCATTTCTAAGACACTCGTCCGACAGCTGTTAAAATTATTCCAGTGACAGCTGATTATATTATTTACAAGCGCACAAAAACATTTTGGTGAGAATTTTCCAGAAAAAAAGTTATTCGTGATGGAATTCAAGCGTGATAGTGCGATTTCTTTATATTTGGCTGGAAAACCACAAGTGGCTATCGTTGGAGCTGAACATATCGCAATATTTCATTCGGCAAATATTGAAAAATGAGCTCGGGGTAAAGCCATTGAAATTCCAAAAAGTACAAGAACTTACACCGCAACAGAAAGAAAAAGACCCAAAAGAGCTAAAGAGTTGCTCCGCTTGGCGCAAAGTGGCGAACTGCTGAATTTGGTTTTCTTCGATCAGAAAACATTCAAACAAAGTTATCGTGTTTACTTTCCAAAGAGGTCAGCTGAAAATGTGCACATTCGGTTGGCCACCAGAACTCAAGCGCCGGCCATGGTGATGATGTGGGCCGCCATAGCAGTCGATGGTCGCTCTCCGCTCGTATTAATCAACCGTGGCATCAGAATAAATGCCGAATATTATGGCGAAAATATTGTGGAGGGTGGGCACGCAAACATTTCGGCCGCAGTCCTTGGACATTCCAACAGAACACAGCACTATTGCACTTAGCACGCGCCACCAAGAATGGTTACAAAATGAAGTTCCTCGCTTCATTTCCAGCGCACAATGGCCACCGAAATCCGTTGGACTGTTGTGCTTGGAGTATTTTGGAAAGCAAGGTTGGCACTAAAAAATACCAAAGTGTCGATCACCTCAAGCAAGCGCTTCGTCGGCAATAGACCAAAATACCACAGAGCAACATTCGGCCAGCGTTTGATTGGCCGTTTGAAGACCATAATTCCTGCCAAAGGTGACCAATTCTAATAAATCTAAATTTAAAGGGTTGCCCATATTCGACGGACCCATGTTTTTTTTCGGCAATTTCGATGACCCTTTGGGCCCATTCCAATCGACGAGGCTTGTCCGCAGGGAACAAATGCAAATCAATGCGAATAATCCGTAGAAAAGTAGACCGAGCCATGCCCAACTGCTACAAACGGCGTTTTTGGGATGTTCTTGGGGACCTCTCAACACTGGCTCGTACGGCAGCGATATTCTCGGCCGTTCGCCTTGGTCGACTTTTATATGGCCTCTTCGGATTAGAAAGAGCCTTACCAGTCGAAAATTTTTCGTATAAACGCTTAATGGTGTTCTTAGAAGGCGCACTTCTCACATTTTTTTCACAATTGACTTCTTCTGTTGAATGTAAATTTCAACTATTTCAGAGCGCTCGCGTGGCGTGTATTGGTTCATGGTAAAAATCTGCTTGGACTGACGCTTCAAACGCGGTATGTCATTAAGCGATGTGACATCTCTGTCAAAAGTTATGGCGTTGCCAGATGGGTCCGTCGAATATGGGCAACCCTGTATTTTAAAATTTGATACCAACAGAGACCTCGATATCAAATTTAAGAATTCCAGTCCTATTCCTTCATACAATACCAAATTTTGTACAGATTTAGTACTTTCCGTTCAAATATACTACGCATTTTCAAATAACCGTCATGTTTCAAACACAGATATCATCAGTAATTTAAAAATCAAATTTCAGAATTTTGTGTCTATCCTTTCACCCAATACCAAATATGGTACTATTCAGTACCTTTCGTACAATTGTAGTAAAAATTTCTGAAACCACCTCACTCTCTCTCTTGAGTACAATTTAGTACTTTTCGTACAAATATAGGACACATGTCCAAACCATAGCCAAATCTCAAACACAGATACCATCTGAATATCAACTTTCCATATCCCTTTTCTCAGTACAAAATATAGTACCATCGAGACGAGCAGAAGAGAATGTTTATGGACGAACGGAAGGTCGTTATAGACGAGCTAGACAGTTTGTTTATAAAGTGTCTCCGGTAAAGAGAGAGCCGGTAGGGAGTCTCTTTATACGAATGGAAGATCGTCTTTATGGAAGAGTTCAAGTGAGTCAACATAGACGAGGTAAATGGAACTTTTATAGACGAGCAAGAGGAAATGTTTACATAAGAGTCAAAAGGAGTCTTCGTAGATCCCCCATGCAACGGTAATTCTTGATACTCGGTAGTTTGATGGTTTTAGCCATATTTCTCCATGGAATTGTTGTAAAATTGATATTAAGAGTTTGTTGCGGATTTCTAACTCTGGTCTCAGAATATTGTCTATGTAGGTCCAGGTTTTACTATATTCGCTATTTTGATGATTTTAGCCACATTTCTAACGGATTTGTGTAAAATTTGGTATTTGTGGTTCAAAATAGGCTCTAGAACATTGTCCATATCAGAACATTGTCCATATCTGAGATATTGACGGAGTAACGTTATGAAGTTTCTACCACTTTTTAAAAAAAAAAGACTTTGTGTCGACTAGTGTCCCTCATTGTCCTTCAGCGCACATTTTGTACTTTGTGTGTGGAAGAATTTTAATCTGTTTTTTTTTTTCTACAGCTTTTTTGTTGTTTCTTTTTTGCGCAACAAAAAATATTACTCACACCACACATGTGTGGTGTATGACATTTGAAGAAAATCTTAGACATTTGGTCGGTGAGCTCTGGGTAATCGGCATCATTGATGTACGTGTTTCGAACAAAATCAGGTGATAAGGAATTAAAGTAGAGATGATAACGATTTTTTTTTTTTTTTTTTTTTTGAATTACGACAAACTGATGTAACGTCAAGATGAGAAACTATGATTGATGTGAAATCTTATCAAAATTCAACCTAACAGTTAGCACCCAATAGTTTCCCAGAAGAAAAATCTGAATACCAAAATGATCAATTGAAACAGAAACACATTTCAAATATTGTTTTTGACTAAACTCAAATCGGTTTCTTCAATCCATGTTTATTTGAATTTAATGAAAATCTCTATGAGGTCAGTTCTTATATTACGCTTCAGTGTACACATTTGTTTTGAGTGAAGAACATCACTGCGGAAGTTGATAACAACTGATGCTAATCTAGCATTCAAGCATCGCAGAGGGACCTACGCACTATCTTGTTCCATAGTTGTAGGAATTAGTATGGGTAAGGGTAGTATTTGGTCGCCAGAGAGTCTACCAAAGCAAAATACTTCAATTTTAGCATGGCGTATAAGATAGAGACATAGAGAGAGAGAGAAAAAACGAGAGAAAGTAAAAAATGTATCGATTGATGGCTAAAAATGGTTGAATCCTTGAATCTTTAAATTATTTAAGCTGGAAATATATAAACCATGCCTTTATATAATCACCCGATCCAAATTTTACTCTAAAAAGAGTTTTATTTTAAAAATTTAAAAAAAATCTTTAATACTAGCTTAGAATTAATTATTAATATTTTAAAGCTACATAATATGATTTAATGCATTACCTGAGATCATCTGAAAAATGTTGTTGTTAGAAATAAAAAACATTTTCTCATCTCAAACCATTGTTGTTACTCATCAGCCATTTGTTGTCATGTTTGTCTTTTGATCTGCATCAACGAATGCATTCCGACAATGAGCTGCTGGAAATTTTGATATCTTTGACATTAGCTCACACTTTTCCATTAGACTCTTGTTACGCTTTTGTGAGAGTGTCAGCAATCTATTGCACTCTGCTTGGGGGGAGGGGATGTGTACGGCGCCAGCAAATTCTCTCCCCATCCCAAGATGTCGTATACGAGATGCTTAGGTTCGAAAAGCTAACATTCGAGCTTGTTTTTTCCATCACAATTAGTTCTAATGGATGATGACGATTGTGTCTGACAAAAACATATTCGAAAATAACAAAACAAATACAGTGGCGCATCAAAATAAAAAAGATCGGAATGGGTAATGGCAACTACTCGGAACGCTACATAAACAGGAAGGCAAGATAGAACTTAATAGAATTTGCTGGAGTCTTTGTAGACTGTTCGGCGGGAGTCTCTGAAAACGACCTGCAAAAGTTTCTATAGACGAGCGATAGGGAGTCTCTATAGACGAGCTACAGGCAGACGAGCGATAGGGAGTCTCTATAGACGAGCGATAGGATTCTCTATAGACGAGCGATAGGGAGTCTCTATAGCCGAGCGATAGGGAGTCTCTATAGACGAGCGATAGGGAGTCTCTATAGACGAGCGATAGGGAGTCTCTATAGACGAGCGATCGGGAGTCTCTATAGACGAGCGATAGGGAGTCTCCATAGACGAGCGATAGGGAGTCTCTTTAGACGAGCGATAGGGAGTCTTTTTAGACGAGCGATAGGGAGTCTCTATTGACGAGCGATAGGGAGTCTCTATAGACGAGCGATAGGGACTCTCTATAGACGAGCGATAGGGAGTCTCTATAGACGAGCGATAGGGAGTCTCCATAGACGAGCGATAGGGAGTCTCTATAGACGAGCGATCGGGAGTCTATATAGTCGAGCGATAGGGAGTCTCTATTGACGAGCGATAGGGAGTCTCTATAGACGAGCGATAGGGAGTCTCTATAGACGAGCGATAGGGAGTCTCTATAGACGAGCGATAGGGAGTCTCTATAGACGAGCGATAGGGAGTCTCTATAGACGAGCTGAGGGGAGCCTCTATAGACGAGCTGAGGGGAGTCTCTATAGACGAGCTGAGGGGAGCCTCTATAGACGAACTGAGGGGAGTCTCTATAGACGACCGATATGGAGTCTCTATAGACGAACGATAGGGAGTCTCTATAGACGAGCGATTGGGAGTCTCTATAGACGAGCGATTGGGAGTCTCTATAGACGAGCGATTGGGAGTCTCTATAGACGAGCGATAGGGTGTATCTATAGACGAGCGATAGGGAGTCTCCATAGACGAGCGACAGGGAGTCTCTATAGACGAGCGATAGGGAGTCTCCATAGACGAGCGATAGGGAGTCTCCATAGACGAGCGATAGGGAGTCTCCATAGGCGAGCGATAGGTAGTCTCTATAGACCAGCGATAGAGAGTCTCATATACGAACGACGGGGAATCTCTGTAGACGAGTGATAGGGAATCTCTGTAGATGAGCGTTAGGGAGTCTCTATAGACGAGCGATATGGAGTCTCTATAGACGAGCGATATGGAGTCTCTATAGATGAGCGATAGGGAGTGTCTATAAACGAGCGATAGGGAGTCTCTATAGACGAGCGATAGGGAGTCTCTATAACCGAGCTATAGGGAGTCTCAATAGACGAGCCATAGGGAGTCTCAATAGACGAGCCATAGGGAATCTATATGGACGAGCTATAGGGAGTCTCAATAGACGAGCGTTAGGGAGTCTCTATAGACGAGCGTTAGGGAGTCTCTATAGACGAGCGTTAGGGAGTCTCTATAGACGAGCGTTAGGGAGTCTCTATAGACGAGCGTTAGGGAGTCTCCATAGACGAGCGTTAGGGAGTCTCTATAGACGAGCGATGGGGAGACTCTATAGACGAGCGATGGAGAGACTCTATAGACCAGCGATACGGCCGATAGCCGTATTTATAAGCAAAGTGAAGGCAATATCTATAGAAGAGCTGAAGGTAGTCCCAATAGACAAGCTTAAGGAGCCCCCATCGACGAGCTGAATTGAGTCTCTCTCTCTCTCTGTCTAAAGACGGGCATACAACTGCCGCTCTAGTTGGGTTGAGGGCTGTCGCTGAAGGCTGTGTCTCTATAGACCAGCTGAATGCTGTGCCTCTATACACCAGCTAAAGGATGTGTCTCTATAGACCAGGTAAAGACTGTGTCTCTATAGACCAGCTAAAGGCTGTGTCTCTATAGACCAGCTAAAGGCTGTGTCTCACCAGCTAAAGGCTGTGTCTCTATAGACCAGCTGAAGGCTGCCTCTATAGATCACTTTAAACTGTCTCTATAGACCGCTCACGACTGTCTCAATAGTTCCGCTAAAGGCTGACTCTATAGACGACCTGAATATTGTGTCTATTAGCAACCAGAATATGAGACGGAAGGGTCTAAAAATTTCGTTCAGGCCGCTCCAAAAGCCATTCTCTGTAGTTATTTTTTCAAAATAAATGATCCACCACACATATGTTCTAAACATACATATCTCAGTGTGATGCTTACGTTAAATGCTGTCCTACATTACTTTTGCCGGACAACGAAGAAAAACACAAATAAAGAGCAATGAAACAACTGATAATAGAAAGTAAATGACAATGAAATTTCATTGTCACAACAGATTAGTGAATGAAATCGAGAAAACAAAACTGAAACGCTCGGATGTCGGACTGGAAATGAGATGAACACCGACGCTTAATTGTCGCAAGCAAACAACCAAACAAAACAAAGATTAGAAAAATAATTTCGATTCGCTCAGAAGCAGAGCAAAGCAGTGGAAAAAAGCCAGTGCAATTGGAACGATTACAGCGATTAAACATGAATTATACAAAACTGGGGATGCGTTCATTGGCGATCGGATTAATTCTGGCCATTGCAATACTGCCTCAAGTAAGTCCAAATAGTTCCCGAAAATGGACATATCTGAAACTCGATTTCATTTTCAGACATTGGGAGCCAGCCCGTATAGTCGCCGCCACCTAATTAACAGCGAGGAAGATGAGCTACGCATCATTAGCCAGTTCTACAATTACGTGGATGTCATAACCGGTGTCAAATTGGACAACATGTTGAAATTAACCCAACACTTTGTCCAGCAGCTATTGGACTCCATACCACCGGAAGATCATGGCAATACGGCGGCAATGCTACAAGATTACATTCATAAATCGGAAGATCTACGTCATCGCCCCGGCAGCATTGAGGAGAAGGAGAAACTCCTCATGGAATTGCAACAGCTCATCGCAACCATTAAAAGTGGCCTTGCCAAGGAGGAAAGGGAAGATATCATTCTACGACGTGGTCTCTTGGGTATGTTTGAGCTACTGGCTCGTCTTTCCATCGAGGAGCGGAAGTTCAATGATAAATTCTCCAAAGCTGCCACAGTGCTGAGGGTCCAAATGAGCGAAGAAAGTTTGGAACGCCGTCGTGATCTCTTCGAGATATTGGAAGCTGTCCAACGTGAACAGGATATTGTTGTACGCGAACGACTGTTCGCTCAATTCAAGGAGATGCGTTATTATAATACAATCCATTAGAAGTGAAAACAGCAAATACGAGATTTTGATGTTATGTAAAGAACAATAAAGTGTAGTGCATGGTGAGGAGCAACCCAGTTGAATGCGGATTTTTATTGTGGAAGAATTGTGAAATGCGAGCTAAAGAGAGATTTTGAACCAGAGGGAAGTCTTTAATAGAGGAGCGTAGGGGTGTTTTTATAGACGCACTGTGAGAAGTCTCTATAGACGAGCTGGGGGAGACTCTATAGACGATCTGAGGGTAGTCTCTACAGACGAGCTGTGGGGAGTCTCTATAGACGAGCTGAGGGGAGTATCTATAAAGTATCTATAGACGAGCTGAAGAGAGTCCCTATAAACGAGCTGAGGGGAGTCTCCATAAACCAGCTGAGGGGAGTCTTCATAATCGAGCTGAGGGGAGTCTCTATAGGCGAACTTAGGGGAGCATCCATAAACGAGCTGAGGGGAGGCTCTATAGACGAGGTGAGGTAGTCTCTATAGACGAGCTGAGGGGAGTCTTTATAGACGAGCTGAGGGGAGTCTTCATAAACGAGCTGAGGGGAGTCTATATAGACGAGCTGAGGGGAGTCTTCATAAACGAGCTGAGGGGAGTCTCTATAGACTAGCTGGGGGAAGTCTCTGTAGACGGGTTGAGGGTAGTCTAAACAGCGAGCTGAGGGGACGAGCTAAATATCGTCTATTATGAACGAGCTCAAAATCGTCTCTTATTGGCGTGATTTAAGTCATACTAAAGGTCGTCTCTTATATAGACGAAGGTCGTCTCTTATATAGAAGAAGGTCCTCTCTTATATAGACGAAGGTCGTCTCTTATATAGACGAAGGTGGTCTCTTATATAGACGATGGTGGTCTCTTATATAGACGAAGGTCGTCTCTTATATAGACGAAGGTCGTCTCTTATATAGACGAAGGTCGTCTCTTATATAGTCGAAGGTCTTCTCTTATATAGAAGAAGGTCGTCTCTTATATAGTCGAAGGTCTTCTCTTATATAGAAGAAGGTCGTCTCTTATATAGTCGAAGGTCTTCTCTTATATAGACGAAGGTCTTCCCTTATAAACGACGAGCTCTTATAGACGAGAGGAAGGGCGACCGGTCTACTGTTTAGAATCCGTATGAGCGTCTATATAGCCAGCCAGAAGGGTATCTGTATACAAAAAATAATTGAGACCTGTTAAAAACTCACTGACTTTCTTAGCTTGCCTTATAACTGTATCTAATATCCGATTTTCTCCCGCATTCCTTTATAGGCTTCACTGTTTACCCGACGGTCGAGCCACATGTCGCTCTGTGCCCGGCCTGACCAAAGATCAATTGGAACTCTGCTACAAAGCCAGCGATGTAACCACGGCTGCCTTAGAAGGTCTCGACCTGGCCATCAGAGAGTGTCAAACGCAGGTAAGTGCCAGCATCCTGAGGCCATCTCTAAGACCTCAACATAATTGGAATCATAAAAACTAAGAAGATTTTTCCACTTTTAATTTTTTTCTTTTCTTTTACTCCTCTTCGTCATTTCAGTTTCAATGGCATAGGTGGAATTGTTCATCACTCAACACAAAAAGCCGCAATCCCCATGCATCGAATCTCTTGAAGAAAGGTAAGTGTTATCAAAGAAGAGACACACTTTTCTCCTCAGATGGAACAACTGAAACAAACTTGAGCGGTGCCCCAGGGCAAAAGAAGCAGGAAAGAAACGACGAATTATTACGCACCCAAGTTGAGGCAGAATTATGCGGTATTTACGCATGAAAAGCTCCACTCCAAGTGTCTATAGAGGCCGATAACCATTCATCCAAGCCACCCACCACAAACTGCATCCAAAGAAATGGAGCTTAACAGCTATTTGAGAGATATTTAAGCACTTCGCCCCCAATTCTTGTTCTGTTCAGATGGTGGTTAGATTGAAAACAAACTCCAATCTCCAGACATTGGCCACCCGCTCTTTATCACTCGCCACTTGAAGTTGCAGATAACAATGGCTAATAACCGACAGTTAACTAACATGGATGGCTAAGTGGATGGTTGAATGCATTTAGCCGAAGAACACCACCCACAACAAAGGATACCTTTTTGGGGAGGGGGGGAAGGGTTTCTCGCCAATTCCATGTGTTCCGCTTTCGTATGACTTAACTCATGGTGAGTGTCCAAGTGCGTGCGTGAGGCCGAGTGTGCGTATGAAGAGCGTGAGTAAAAAACCACAGGAAAACTGTCAACATTATTGTGGTCTACTTCAGCTTGACAAAATCCATCTATGGCTGGATTAACTGACTGACTGGCTGGTCGGTTGGCTAGCCATAGATGTTGCTGGGCCCACAGTCACAGCACTCCAAATGCCTGGCCGTAACATGAATCCATGCATACAAAAGTGTCTAATTAAATTTGCTGTTAGACTTAGAGGACCCACACAAAACATTACCACCAACATTATCGTCAAACGTTGTATAACACGGCATGTTTATTCTTGCTGGGTTTTTTTTTCTTTATTTTTATGTAAGTTTTAAATATTACAGAGAAAGAAATCAGAGAAAAAGTTCATCCGGTGATGAATTTTTTTTCTTATCGAAAAAAATACATTTGCCGATGAATTTTTTTCCTATCGCAAAAAAGTTCATCCGGCGATGAATTTTTTTCCTATCGCAAAAAAGTTCATCCGGCGATGAATTTTTTTTCTATCGCAAAAAAGTTCATCCGGCGATGAATTTTTTTCTTATCGCAAAAAAGTTCATCCGGCGATGATTTTTTTTCCTATCGCAAAAAAGTTCATCCGGCGATGAATTTTTTTCCTATCGCAAAAAAGTTCATCCGGCGATGAATTTTTTTCCTATCGCAAAAAAGTTCATCCGGCGATGAATTTTTTTCCTATCGCAAAAAAGTTCATCCGGCGATGAATTTTTTTCCTATCGCAAAAAGTTCATCCGGCGATGAATTATTTTCCTATCGCAAAAAAGTTCATCCGGCGATGAATTCTTTTCCTATCGCAAAAAAGTTCATCCGGCGATGATTTTTTTTCCTATGAGAAAAAAGTTCATCCGGCGATGAATTTGTTTCCTATGAGAAAAAAGTTCATCCGGCGATGAATTTGTTTCCTATGAGAAAAAAGTTCATCCGGCGATGAATTTGTTTCCTATGGAAAAAAGTTCATCCGGCGATGAATTTATTTCCTATGGAAAAAAGTTCATCCGGCGATGAATTTATTTCCTATGGAAAAAAGTTCATCCGGCGATGAATTTATTTCCTATGGAAAAAAGTTCATCCGGCGATGAATTTATTTCCTATGGAAAAAAGTTCATCCGGCGATGAATTTATTTCCTATGGAAAAAAGTTCATCCGGCGACGATGGAAAAAAGTTCATCCGGCGACGATGGAAAAAAGTTCATCCGGCGATGAATTTGTTTTCTATCGCAAAAAAGTTCATCCGCCGATGAATTTTTTTTCTATGACAAAAAAGTTCATCCGCCGATGATATTTTTTTTTTTTTTCTATGACAAAAAAGATCATCGGCCGATGAATTTTTTTTCTATGACAAAAATGAATTTTTTTCCTATCGCAAAAAAGTTCATCCGGCGATGATTTTTTCCTATCGCAAAAAAGTTCATCCGGCGATGATTTTTTTCCTATCGCAAAAAAGTTCATCCGGCGATGAATTTTTTTCCTATCGCAAAAAAGTTCATCCGGCGATGAATTTTTTTCCTATCGCAAAAAAGTTCATCCGGCGATGATTTTTTTTCCTATCGCAAAAAAGTTCATCCGGCGATGAATTTTTTTCCTATCGCAAAAAGTTCATCCGGCGATGAATTTTTTTCCTATCGCAAAAAAGTTCATCCGGCGATGAATTTTTTTCCTATCTCAAAAACGTTCATCCGGCGATGAATTTTTTTCCTATGTGAAAAAAGTTCATCCGGCGATGAATTGTTTTTTCCTATGGCAAAAAAGTTCATCCGCCGATGATTTTTTTTTTCTATGGCAAAAAAGTTCATCCGCCGATGATTTTTTTTTTTTCTATGGCAAAAAAGTTCATCCGCCGATGAATTTTTTTTTTCTATGGCAAAAAAGTTCATCCGCCGATGAATTTTTTTTTTTCTATGGCAAAAAAGTTCATCCGCCGATGAATTTTTTTTCTATGGCAAAAAAGTTCATCCGCCGATGAATTTTTTTCTATGACAAAAAAGTTCATCCGGCGATGAATTTTTTTCCTATGGCAAACAAGTTCATCCGGCGATGAATTTTTTCCTATGGCAAAAAAGTTCATCCGGCGATGAATTTTTTTCCTATGGCAAAAAAGTTCATCCGGCGATGAAATTTTTTCCTATGGCAAAAAAGTTCATCCGGCGATGAATTTTTTTCCTATGGCAAAAAAGTTCATCCGGCGATGAATTTTTTTCCTATGGCAAAAAAGTTCATCCGGCGATGAATTTTTTTCCTATGGAAAAAAGTTCATCCGTCGATGAATTATTTCCTATGGAAAAAAGTTCATCCGGCGATGATTTTTTTTTCTATGACAAAAAAGTTCATCCGTCGATGATTTTTTTTTTCTATGACAAAAAAGTTCATCCGCCGATGATTTTTTTTTTTCTATGACAAAAAAGTTCATCCGTCGATGAATTTTTTTCCTATAGAGAAAAAGTTAATCCGGCGATGAATTTTTTTCCTATAGAAAAAAGTGCTTCAATGTAAGAAGTCATCTCATCATTTTTCCCCGTGTACATATTCATGTCCCGCTTAATTCTGGAAGAATGTTAGGAGACATAATAATGTGACCACTACGTAACAAACAGTGCCGATCAGAGAAAAATGTAGCAACAACAAAAGTGATTAGAGCGCATTATTAGACATGCAAGACCCGCAACCATAGGCGAGTGAAATAATGCAAAAAAAATAGCAACAAAAATATAACACTATCTTCATGCTAAGCTGGCTGGCTAGCTGAGTGGAAAGATCAAATTACTTACAAAAGCCAACAACAACAGCAATTATAATCACTATGACAAATAACCGCAGTAGTTGTAGGAGGATGAGTGGGGGAAAGGGCAGTGTGTGTTGGCAGTAACATTAAAGAGCGCCAGGGAAAAAATAAAAGCGAAAAAAGCCCAGTGTTTTAGCATCAGGCATCTCTAATGTTAAATGTAATACATGAGCTTAGGCTACTGGCCTCTTTGTAAGATGGTCGGGGTTGGGTCGGTAGACAGGCAGGCGGAGATCTATAACATAGCCATTCAACCATTTCTGCCCAGAGCCACAAGAAGATCACCGTAACTGTGGCACACGCATGCCCAACAACAACAACAAAAGCGACTGACTGACTTACTGGGTGACCACATATCATGTTTCGCTGCATGGTCGGATGGACAACGAACGCATCATCCAGCTGTATTGTTGTTGTTTTTGTTATCATTTATTTGTATAAGTTTATTTAATTTTATTAAGCGGTTCGTGTGTCTTAAGCTGCTTCATTTCGAACACAAAAAAGTAGGAAGCTTTGATCATCTTTATTTTGCCGCATCTTACCAGCTGTTTGTTTGGGGACTGTGGGGCATAGCTGCAGTGGAGGGTAAAATTGCACATTTTATAACAAAGTTTGGCAAATCTGATTTTTTCAAAGGTAAGAATTCGTGACAGATTAAAATTTTTTTCAACCGAGTTTCCTTTTTTTAAAAAAGCATTCATCGAAGGATTCCTACAAGGGAGGTAAATTTTTTTTCTATCGGAGAAAAGTTCTTCGGTAGGTATTTTTTTTTTTTCTATCGGGAAAAGATCATCCGGCGATGATTTTTTTTTCTATCGGAAAAAAGTTCATCCGGCGATGAATTTTTTTCTATCGGAAAAAAGTTCATCCGGCGATGAATTTCTTTCTATCGGAAAAAAGTTCACCCGGCGATGAATTTTTTTCTATCGGAAAAAAAGTTCATCCGGCGATGGATTTTTTTCTATCGGAAAAAAAGTTCATCCGGCGATGAATTTTTTTTTTCTATGGGAAAAAAAGTTCATCCGGCGATGAATTTTTTTCTATCGGAAAAAAAGTTCATCCGGCGATGATTTTTTTTCCTATGAAAAAAAGTTCAACCGGCGATGAATTTTTTTCCTATGGAAAAAAGTTTCATTCCGGATGGAGGTTTACCTATGGAAAAAAGTTCATCCAAGATAAATGTTTTAATATGGAAAAAAGTTCATCCTGCGATGAATTTTTTCCCGTCGGGATAAGTTCATCCGGCGATGAATTTTTTTCTATCGGGAAATAGTTCATCCGGCTGTGAATTTTGCTCCAATCGGAAAAAAGTTTTTCCGGCTATGAATTTTTTCAATCGGAAAAAGTTCATCCGACGATGAATTTTTTCTATCGGAAAAAGTTCATACGGCTGTAATTTTTTCTATCGAAAAAAGGTTCATCCGGCGATAAATGTTTTTCTATCGGAAAAAAGTTTGTCATAGGTGATTTTATCCCTACTGAAGCTACAGATCACAATTTTGTCCTTTAGTGTAACTACGAATTCAAAACTAAAATAATACCTTCACACCGCTACTTATTATAAAGTTATTCAAAAAAAAAGACTCAAACCGAAAATATGGAATATCAAACCACACACGATCTTCATTTCTTAG